AAATAACGCGCTGGCTTTATAGTATAACACAAACAAAGTATACATTTTCTGAAAGCTGAGTAAACATAATTTATGAAGACATCTTCAAAATACGATGTTTTTAATTGTTGTTCACATTATTGTCCTCCAAGCGAAATTTGACCATGCCTCAGTGAAAACGTTAACGGACACGTACATTTTAAGCTATGTTTGCGAAAAATATCTTAACATACTCAGGAGATAATAAGCTCAAAAAGGGTGTCCCAGATTTTTGATATCTGCTTTATATCTCTCGCTATTTTGGATCAAAGTTCGACGATTGCTTTTGGAGTGTTGTTTAGAGTAAAAAGCGTCATAACTTTGGAAAGAAATTAAATTTCAAAAATCGGAGACACACTTTTTTGGATCATGAGTTACGTTATAAACTCTCCAAATTTTAGAAAAATCGAATGAAATCCAAGGGCCTTTTAGCTTTTTGAAGTTGAGGTTTTAGCGGTAAAAAAGATTCGAGAAAAATGCATGTCTTTATTTGGAGCCGGAAGCTGCAGGGAGCCACGATGGTGTTGGTCAAAACACCTGGAGCCTTCCATTTTGTCATCACTTGTCAAATTATCTGTTGTTCTGGACGATCGCAATGCGGGATCTTTTTACAAGGACAAAGGAGCATTTAGACTCGACGTTATTGCAAGCGACGGGACATTTCCGGTCTTTATAAAGTCACGATTTTGATTTGTCTCAAAATTTTGGCTTATCCAATCATAAATTGCAAGAAGTTTCAAAAAAATATGAAAGACAAAAATTTTAGGTTACGAAATTTCAAGAAAAACATTTTTCGAGCAAATCCTCATTTTTCGTGTCCTAATACCTTAATATCATTTGGGAGGTCGAAACTACATTGCTCCGCGTATAAAATGATCTCCTTCGGACTCTGGATGACGGCAATGAAGCCCTATTGATCTTTTTGGACTTCTCTGCTTTTAAAACGTCTTACAACTCGCTTTGGTTTCTCTGGTACTGTTATCTCGTGGTTTCAGTCGTATCTCTCCAATCGGACTCAGAACATTAGTATCAACAATTTAGAATCGACCCATCATGCACCCCTCAGGGCTCCGTTCTTGGACCCGTCCTATTCTGTCTTTACATTGCACCAATTGAAGACATCTTCCTATCGCACGGTCTATCAGCGATGACATATGCCGATGATACACAATTATATACCATCATTCCAAAGAAACAACTAGTAATTGCGCGAACTGCTGTTGAGAATTGCCTACAAGATATCAAGACCTGGTGTGCTGTAAATGAACTTGTTCTCAATGATGATAAGACTGAACTTGTGCATATCCACTCTAAGTTCTCTCGTACACTATCTACTGTACCTGGAATTACCAGTGGCAACTTTACCACAGTACCCAAGGCCGAGGCGCGTAATCTTGGCGTCCTTTTTGATCAAAATCTCAGCTTCAAAACTCAAATTAGTAACACTTGCAGAGCATCTTTTATGACCCTGAGTAAAATTAGCAAGACCCGAAACCATCTGAGCAAGCAGCAAGCTGAAAAGCTGGTACATGCGTTTGTCACTACAAGATTAGACCAATGCAACAGCATCCTGCGCGGCCTTCCCCGTTACGATCTTGACAGACTACAGAAAGTTTTGCTGCGGCAAGGGTAGTTGTTAGGCCGAAACCTGATGTGGACATCACTGACACTCTACGTTAGTTTGCACTGTCTTTCCCATTGCTGATCGCATTGTATTTAAGATCTTACTGCTGACCTATAAAGTACGCAATGCCCTTGCACCTAGCTACCTAAAGTGTCTTCTGAGTGAATACAAAACGTCACGTTGCTTACGTTCCACCAACAAGGACCTCTTGGCTGTTCCACGCACCCAATCAAAAACATATGGAGACCGTGCATTTTCTGTGGCAGCGCCTAAGCTCTGGAAACAACTGGCAGAGGGAGTTAAAGCTTCCAGTTCTATTGACATTTTCCAGACTAAACTTAAGACATTTTTACTTAGAAGTGCATACAGACTTTGAGGTAGAAGCTTATATGTATAAATATTATCACATCACTACTACTCTTATTTATCTTTTTTATTTTTATTGTAGTAATGTTTTTTAAAATACGTTTTCTATATACATATATATACATACGTTTCATTTTTTTCCTATATATTTCTATTTTTTTTCAAAT